GTAGTAGTAGTAGTAGTAGTAGTAGTAGTAGTAGTAGTAGTAGTAGTGGTAGTGGTAGTAGTAGTAGTTTTGTAGTAGTAGTAGTTTTGTAGTAGTAGTAGTAGTAGTCGTCGTAGTAGTAGTAGTAGTAGTTTTGTAGTAGTAGCAGTAGCAGTAGTAGTAGTAGTAGTAGGAGTAGTAGTAGTAGCAGCAGGAGTAGTAGTAGCAGCAGTAGTAGTAGCAGTAGTAGTAGGCAACAAAAGGCTTTGCAGAACCGGCCTCAGAGTCCCACTCTACGCTCAAGCCCATGGATGCTGGGGTTTGCTCGCTCATTCCCAGGTACTGAACAACATCCTCCGCTATCTCGCCACACTTCAGGGCTATAGTGCCTGTATAAGGCCGTTTCCAATAGGGATGCGTCCTGGTCAACCGCAGCGTGGAACCAGCTCCCAAGCCGACAAGCTCTGGGACTGAGGATGCCTCGGCCATAGGGTTGCCAACCATGCCACGAACAGTCAAAGCTGAGGAAGCCTCTGCGATGATAGAACCAATGGGTCCATCACCCTGTATCCTCAACTGCAAACTCTCCCCTTCGTCTCGACCATTCGCCAAAAGGGTTGTTGCCATCAATGCCCGCCCAAGTGCAATGCCAGCCATGGCGGAACACTGATGCTGGCCAACCACCTTTTGCACAAGTTCGGTTGCACAAACAGCGCGAACAACAACATTGCCACCCATATACCTCACAAGCTGGTCTGACACCCCGTGCTCGACATCAGACTGCGAAGCATAAACAGGGCTTCGTGCTCTGCGGTGTTTGCTAGAGCTCGACCTACAAAAGCCTGCCCCAAGGCCGCTAAGGCTTGCACCCAGCAAAAGGGCCCCAAGACTTCGTTCTGTGCGCAAGCGGCGCAAGCTGTCAGAGCCCTGGCTTTTTCCAAAGCCTGTATCTCTTTCGCCCGGCCTGGAGACCTGTACCCAGTGGGACGTTGCAGGTCTCACCCCGGCTTGGAACATGGGTTGGATGAGCGCCATAGCTTTGCAAGCTACGCTCTAGCATGCAACAAAGCTGGCAGACGGAGTAAACATTTACAAAGGTTGGTCAAAGCATCTGTCACATGCCAGTAACGAGGTCCAAAATCTATGGCACAAACACACAACGATTCTTTTGCCACAGCTGCTCGTCATGAGTAAGGCATCTCTGGTGGCTTTTGCAGGTGTGGCATCAGTGCAGTGTACCTGCAAACAGGCAGATTTTCTCCACGCCATCTGCTCTTGCCTAAAAATACTGTATCTGCAATCGTCAACCCGTCTGCCTGGCCTCTCTGGGCAACCCTTCTCCGCGATTTTGTGCTGACCTGAGAGGTTCTTTCCCGCGGGAGGAGGGTAGGCCGCTAGGAGGGAGAGGTAGCTAGTGCAGCTAGTAGCTTACTTAAGCTACTAGGAACAGGACGCTGGATAGCTCGCGCTTCTTCAAGGAAACTCCCCCCGCAAGCTTCCTTGAAGAAGCGCTCGCACTAATGATTTGGTTCCTAGATTTTTAGGGAAACTTACAGTAACATGTTCTGTTTGATACTTTGACTCTTGATTTTGCTGTGAATACTTCGTTGTTTGATGCAAATAGTTTTAAAGCTGATAAGCATACCACAATTCCCATGGTTTTTCGGCCAGGCTTTTTGTGCCCTTTCTTGCCACGGCAAAGCATTGGAGGCGCCTCCTGACATCTCTCAATGTGGAACTGGTGAACACTCCTAGAGCTAGGAAACAAATATGGAACTTGTAGGAAATGGCCTGCAGCTCACCTTGTGGATCGAATGGCCTAAGAGAGTTGTCATTGCTTCTCGTAAAGGCGCTGTAGTGCCATCTATATACATGTCTCGGCCGTCAAGGCTTGGGGCTGCAGCATGGGAAAGTGAAGTAGCTCAAGCCCGGAGACAGGTTGCTCTTCCCTGCACCTTGCCTGGCGGAATCTTGGTCAGGTCATGTTTTGCCGTCGGTTTTGCTGACGAGGTCCGGCAAGCTGGCCCGCAACCAGGTTGAGGGGTTTTCGTAATGAAGGGATGTCCTTAAGCCCATTACATGATCTTAGTACATGTTCATTGTTGCCAGAAGTATGACATGTTTCAAAGCTTCGAGATGCCCTTTTCAAATCCCATCTACAAACTAACTTGAGAGAGGAGGGGGTGAACGAAAGGTAGCAGGCAATCACAAGTAACCCTGGTAGAAGTCCATGACGGCGTGAACCGGCGCAGGGGGGATTTGATCCAGGGGGGCCCCCGACGAACAGAATCATCTCTTACAGGACCAAACTCAATGCACAATGCCAACTCCTGATTGTAATACATGTTTGCTAAAGCAAGGAGAACTCAGGTAGCTCAAGCTACCTTTCGTGATATACAGTAATACTTTCACAACCACCATGGGCCATGGACCTTGAGCAAATCGGTGATGTGTTTCCTGCATGAACTTTATGTTAGATGGGTTTGCCACGGTTGGTCTACAACCTTGTATGACCAAAAATGTCTTGTTTGCACAGTCGTGGGGTTGTTGAGAAGGTTTTGTCAAACTTCCTCAGCATGTTTCTCAGCCTGCCTTCGCAGGATGTTGCTGAAGTTCAGTGTATTGTGGCTGTCGTGCCTGCATGTTTTGCGACCTGGAGCACTATGCGGCATCTTTGTTGTCTGATGTTGTCTGTTTGTGTCGCAGGCGCCATCTGTTTTCCATCTGGGGCTTTGACGTGAGGCCCTTTAAGTTTCCTTTTCAACCAGATCGGAAAGAGCCGAGACCCTAAAGTCTCTGGCTTAAGAAAATGTTGGGATCTATATATTAAGAACTAAGAAACCTGGCTGATGAAATTTGATGAAGAAGGACATCTTCTATTAAGAAGGTCAAAAATTTGAAACATTGCAGGTAGACAGTATACAGTTACAGTTGTTGTGCATGCAAGACCCCCCTGTCTGGTGCGGAGCAAAGCGTCCTGTCGTTTAACTCATCAGCTCATCCTTTTTCAGTCTCACTCTGCTGCGCTCGCAAAGGTGCTAGGCAAGCGCCGCTTCTGCCCCTTTTGCACCAGCACCTTGGTTCGTCACTCAAGCAATAGACTGCGATTCTACGAGAACTGACACGTTAACTTCTATGAAAAGCATTGAAAAGCTGCAAACAACCGTGAACAGCGGTGCGTGGCACTGAATAATCTTTGATACCAAGAGTTCTATAGGCAAATAGATATGAAACGATGCTGTTGCTGTGTTGACACCTAACAGTGGACGCTAGTTGGGCGCGGCGCTGCAAGGCGCCTGGTGCTTTTGTGATGGTTGAAAGCACCTCTTTAGTGGCCCTATGTCACATCCCAAGCGGCAGTTTTTGCAGTGCTCTGTCTTAGTCTTGAAGGAACTACTACAGTATGTGTGTCTGGTGTCAAAGTTGGGTGGCCTGATATTATATTGTACATACTATACCACACCAAATGTCCAAGTCAACTGAGAGTCACCTGGCTCAACTATCGTTGTCAACGATGCTCTTGCCACAACCCAGGCTTCCTCAACCGAAACAACCCAGGCTTCCTCACCCGAAACTTCCTTGGGCGAGCACTTCTGAGCTTGACCCGGATGGAGAGGATGGCAATCTGCACGGCATGGACAATGATGTTGGTCCATGCCTTGCTGAATACAATACAGCGTAGAGGATAGACAGGGACAGAAAATTAAGAGACGATAGTAAATAAAGCCTGGACATCGATGCATATCCATGCCACAGTGTGGGAACTTTGCAAGCAAGGCTGAGATGCAAGCACATGTTCCTCACCTCCCTGACTCGCCAATTTGGAAGAAATCGCAAGCACAACCTGCAAGGAAATTGCACAGGTAAGCCCAACTTTGGTCAGGATACCACTTCCCAAATGGCCAGTGGGAATGAACGAAAACAGTATCGAATACCCTATGATCCTGCACCTTTGCAGTCAAAACAGCGTCGATCATCGCTGAGTGAGTCGTTCTCCAAACCTTGTGACGAAGAGTTTGAAACAGGTTGGTAGTGGATGTCCAATTCGGTGGCTCAGGGTCACGTGCTTCCTGGACTGCCCTCTGGTATATCCAGCAAGTAACCTTCGAATGATAATGCCCATCAACAAGCACGGAATTACACTGCTACTCTGTTGCTCAGTTCTTCAGTTCTATCGTCATCTGTTACTCTGTTGTGTCATGTTGTGTCCACTTCCGGCAAGCAACAAGCGCTGGTTAAGTCTCGAGGGCTCGAGGGCCTCCAAAGAGCAATCGAAGCGAAAGAAGGAGCATCGAAAGAAGGGCCATCGCTTTGGTTTGTCACCCTCCTGAAGGCTGCAAACGCTGCCGCACTGCCTTGAGTCCGACCCGTTGTGTGATTTGGGGTTCGGGCTATTATCAAGTGAGTACTCCTTCAAATAGCACCAAGCCCTAGTACCTTGCTGAGCTGGCCGCAAAAGCATCGCTGCCCTAGCCTTCAAAAGAAGAGTTTGTCTTAGGGAAGAAAGACTGGAAAGGTTAAGTTTCCCTAAAAATCTACGAACCAAATGAATAGTGCCAGCGCTTCTTCAAGGAAGGAAGCTCCCCCCCTCGCCCTCAGGCGGGGGGAGCTTCCTTGAAGAAGCGTGAGCTATCCTGCTTCCATGCTAGTAGCGTACTAGTAGCTAGTAGCGTACTAGAGTGTCTTAATTAAGTAGGCGCCTACTTCATTAAGTAGGGAGGCGGGGAGCGGGCTTTAAAACAAAAAGCATTTGGAGTCCTCAAAACATTCTCACAAGCATTGGCGGCAAAGTCACCCTATGTCACTCAGCCAGAGGCTCCTGATGCCCTCTCCTTCAAGTCCACAACGCTTCAAGTCTTGGAGCATCATCCTGGTGGACTTGAAAACGTGTGGCATTCACTTCGTGCAGGTTAGTTATATAACTATTGCAAACATGTGCAAACCCCAAAAAAGAAACCATACGAGTCTTTAGCTTGTCAAGAATCTGCTGAACGTCTGCTGAACGCCGTAAGCCCCTGTTTTGTCATCCAACTTTTTGAGCGAGGGTTGACCGTTTCAGCCGAGGCGATTTCTGCCTTCCCTCAAAATGTTGGTGAAACGCAAATCAAGGCCCAGGCATCTCACTTGTAAGTAAATAAAAGCATATCTGCTGTATTGTTGTTATTTCTGATAAATGGCTATGGATCCCAGAATCTCAAGCTAAAACCTCTCTCTCATGGGGCAGTCTGTGGCCGATCATCCTGCGATCACGAAGGTTTCGATCAGTACAGCCGCATTCTCAGTAAGTAAACTAAGTGCTCAGTATGTCAATTCAATATGCAATTACTCTCGTTTTGAACCATTTTGCTTGAATCAAAAGCGACAGCATGTCAAAGAAACCACCTGGACTGGTTCATTAGCATTTGGGTTTGCAATACTAGCTGTGACTCATGACTCACCCTAAGGACGCGTTGATGACATCATGACATCATTTGTTGGCAGTGCTGCCCGAGGCTGCAAACTGTATGAAAATGAAATCAATCACAAATCACTCAAATATTTGGGCAAGTGCCAGATGAAATGAAACCAAACACCAAGCAGCCGCGTCCTCCTGTGTCATAAGTGCAGGTAGAGCACTGCCTCTCTGTGAATAGAACAGCCTGAAGCATCGCAGCCAATACGCTGACGTCACGCAGCTAACCTACTAGCAATGACCTCCAACCTAGACGCGATGGCCTCCAACCTACTAGCTCATCAGGTACCGAGCAACGATTGGCTTTCAGCCTTCTGTCTGGCCAACTCCACAGACCTACCAAAGTGCAAGCTCGAATCATCTAGAATCAATATCTTCTATCTGAAACTAGCCTAGCTTTCAGTACAGTAAAACTATCGTCACTAGGCTAGGGGTGGAGTATATAGTTATATTAGTGTTACATGTCGTGTCCAGTCCATTCCCCAAGATTTCATAGACATTACTGTAATTACTGATGCTTAGCATGTTTCATGTAACTTGATCTTGATGTCACTTGTGGGTTCATCATGTTCATCACACAGCCTCGGGCGAGGCGCCGAGGGCACCATGGGCGTGTCCGGTCTTGATGCCGTAATCTGTCAGAGCAAAAACGTCCAGAGGCATCGCAAAAAGGTATCGCCATGCGAAACTCTTTTTAGTTTTTTGAGTAAGAAAATGATCATGGGCCGTGTTACATCATGTTACAACGTGTTCCAAAACTGAACCAATAGGATCCAATACGCACCTGAGCTAACGAAGGTGGACCTGGAGAAAGCGAGGACATATGGCCTGAAGACGGCGACCGGGAACATCGTCGTATGTTTACAGACTTGCTGCTGAAGAAAATCTGCGACCGGAACCTTCCCAAGAACTCCACCACTTCTGCATGATTTGCTGCTTTTCCTTGGCAGAACTGTGCGAAACATTTGCAACCGATATAGCTATTATACATACGTATGATCAAATATATCTGTCTCCAACTGCATTCAAAGAACGCTCTGAAATTGATCCTCGGAGATGCCTTTGATCGTACGACTTGCTCCAACTTTGTGAAGAGCTTCGAACCTCGACGCAACAACTGCGAGGTTTGCTGCGTATTGTCGGCAACAACTTCAATGCAGCCCTGTGTTCTACCTGCTTCTGGATTCAGCCATGGCATCTGCCACTTCAGCAGTGGTCTTGATTTCTTCCTCACACAACGCTATCCAAACTCTCTCAACAGTTGAACATCAAAAACACCTGTATTGAAATGTGAAGGATCCGCCTGCATGCGATCAATCGTCATGAAGGCGTCTGTTTGAACTTCTTGAGCGAACAGTGAGGTGTTCCTCACCTCCCTGCGAGAGCCGGACAAAAGCAAAGCTCGGAAAGGTGGATGTGGAGAAAAGCCGGATCTTTCCTTTTTTTGACTTTATTTCCCCTTTTATATACAGTAATTAGTTCCTTTGAATCGTTGATTGTTCCTTTTCTCTGTTCTTTCTTTCGTTTTTGAGATTCCACTTCACTCTTGAGATGTTTGCATGATTCTGCAGCCATGGCTCTCCGCTGTGCAATGGAAGGACCTGCGGACCTTTGTCGTTTGCTATTACAGTACTAGGCATCTATCCAATTTCAAGTCACTTCAACTCATCAATGGGTCTTCCCTCTACCGAAAAGACTCAGGACTCTGAGCTTGGGACAGTGTCTTCAGCGACCTGCATCATCATCTGTCGCCTTTGATCAAAGTCCTGCAATCTCAAAGCTACCAGCACCAGGTCATAAGAAAGGCACCCCTCAGGGAAGGCATCTGTTGTCACCGGTGCTAACAAAGGGTGGTCAAGTCCAAGATCTTAAGCCTGTATACTTTCAAAACTTTGCCACGGAGTCCTTCTGCAGCTTATCGAGCAAGCCTCATCAAATATCCAGTTCATTCGGATTTAGCGAACCCACCAGAATTGGAATGTCCAATGGTTCAGTTGTTATTGCCTGTCTTTGTGGCCTGCCGCACTCCAAGTACTGACGATAGGTTGGTCACAAGCTAGCAGCATCCCAACTAAATGAACAAAGTCGTCAAAGCTTTCACTCTGCAAGAAAGAGGCTGTACAAACGCTTTACTTCTTTTTCCAGTGTCAGCTTCTTCTTGTCCAGATCGTCTGCTTTGCTCAACATGAGTCTACCTGATTCTGTGCGAGTGAAATCTCCAGGAAGCAAGGTGAATCCACCACAAAGACTGAAACATGCTTGCCTGCGCTGTGTTGAAACTACGAGTAGCTGAAATTGAATGGTGATGCCACAATAACTCCAAGCTGCATTCTTCATTTGCTTTCAATTGCCCATTTGCGCTCTCTTCCAATTCTTCTTCAGTTCTGCGAACCTCAACAAAGGCTGCTTGCAAAAATGAGGTAAGTGGCAAAAATGAAAGGCGTTAATCATCTGGCAAGCTGCCATTGTTCTGAGACTTGTGTCATGCTCCTGGAGCACAGCACCAAGTATCATTTCAGTCACACATCCGTCACGCATCCAATACACTTCCTCCAAAAGCAGCTTCTAACTTGGTTGGTTTGAAAAAAAAATTGTTCTGGGATTTCATGATTGGGGGAAATGCACTGGGAAAGAACGGATCAGTAAGTGCATGTGGGAGATGTTAATCAGGAAGAGTGAGTTGGAGGTGCAAGGGTGGGAGATGGTCTGATATGGTCGATGGTGCAGGCTACGGGTAGATGGTTTTGAGGGAGTTGCGATTGCTTGGTGTGCAGTTAGGATTAGGGCATCCTCTACTGCATTCCAATCTGAAGCAAAGTCTACCAGGTTATTGTTCCTTTCCGGACATCCCGTGTCATTGCTGAAGGGAGACGTCTTCAAAAAAGCATATACCGTTCTTGGTAAAGGTAAACGTCAGAAATTCTGACCCTGACTCACATCAACTTGCTCCCAACAAACTTCTCAAGTCACCTGTCAATTGATACAATTTGGCAATGGAGTTTGCTCCTGTGCCATTCTTTCCAGCACCTGGCTGACATCGCAACGTCGGGCAAAAGAACATCGTATGAAGAAGAATTGATTGAAATGTGATTCCTTCCTTTCTCTGTTCTTCACTTCCTTTTTTGAGGGAATGGATATCAAAGCGAAAGACCGGGATGGAGGCAGTCAGGAAGCTACGCGGAGTAGAGCTCGGATTCTTTTTGAGAACTGATAGGCCTGTTGATGATTGTCCACCATTTCCTGGCGCTTTCTGAGCACTTCTTGCAGCCTCTGCTTTTCTTTCTCAACCTGCACCAGTAAACAGGTGCAACGGGAGAGCAGTACAACAAACATGCATTATTACCACCTTTGGGGAGGCAACACGACAAGCACAAGTGTGTCAGGCAAAATATGTTTGCCATACATACTCACAATGCTGGCCTGCTTTTCGCCCTGAATGTGAGCCGTAAGCACGCGATTTTCACCTGTCCAACAACTCTTAAGCAGTCGCAGGCCATCTTCCCTACACCTCTCATCAAAATCTAAATTTCTTTTTGTGCAAATTGCACTATTTTGAAAAATCATGAAAATTCTAATTTAGAGAAGTCTCACTCTGCGATCTGCTTTTTGATCTTCTGCGGTGTGCAGGCCTCAGGTTGACTCAGGTGTCTGCAAATGGGGGTTGGCCACAGGGGCAGGCTGGGTGGCACACGATTGATGGGTTCCAGCCTTGTGCCATCACCTCGCATGTCTGTCTCTGCGTCTGCCTGTGTCTGCCTCCTCCCTCCTTCTCCCTCCTTCTCCCTCCTGTCCCTCCTTCTTCCCATGTCGTATTGTTGGATGTTCATTTGCCCTGCTACTCAGGGCAATGGCTCAAACTGTCTCTGTTTCTCCGTTTCTCTGCATTTCCTTGCCTGAAAACGTCAGAGTGAGGCATTCGTATACACAACAGCTTAAAACAAAAGGAGCAAGGCTCTTTGGGCCAAATGGCAAGGGATCGAAGTACATAGCAGGTTGAAAAAGCACAGCACCTGTGCCATTGCTTAGTACTGGGCAGTCCTCAGGTCAAAGGCAGCGTTGTGGGCGACCAATGCAGTGTTTTCTCCAGCAGCGAACTGCATGAAACTTCGCAAAGTGTGTGGTCTGGATGCTGCCGCCTGACCCAGGATCATGTGTCTCACATGGTGATGGCGATTCAGTTATCCAGCCGCAGCCTGCATCTCATCGAAGTAAAGCCCGTTGACTTCTGATGCTTTGGCATTGATTGGCCTTGTTGGCCGCAGGAGGCCTCATTTCCACAAGCTTAGGAAGCCTATGAAAGTGTCCTTTTTTCATCTTTTTTCTAGCATTGTGTTCAGCAGCGTTCTGCTTGGTACAAGCGTTGCAAGGAAGGGATAGTGCAGCCCAGGGCAAAGGAAGATCATCCATTGGTTTTGCATGTCCCCTCTGCCAAGGGGGAGACTGTGAAAGCACTTGCCAGTTGGTCGGAAAGACGAAAAGGTCCCCATTGAAGAGTGCGGCGGACAGACCTACAGTACAACAAAAACCTAAGAATTCTTGCACAAGTTACACAAAACACTTGAATGAAAGAAACGATTGAAAAACATGTCTAAAAGCTTTATCATCAAAGGTCTAGAGAAAGGAAGAAAGAAAGAAAGCAGTCAACAAAAGAGGTCGACCTCGAACTCCACCGCGCCAATCTCTAGAATCTCGTCATCTGCGCCAAAGCCCGAGGTTTCAGTGTCGAAGACCTAGGGAACCGTGTAGCACACAATGTAGCACACAGCGTAGCAAGGACGCTACTAGGAGCAAAGGGCATCGCTACTAGGAGCAAGGACGCTACTAGGGGGCTCCTTAGCACGCCGTGGCATCGGACTCTCCGTTTCACCAAGATTCCAGCAATCGCCCGCTGATACTTCCGGGGTTCCAAGGGCAGAAGCGTCCACCACTTCTGCGGTTGGCTGGCTGTAAAATGTGTTTGAAAATGCCAAAAAACGGGATCTCCACTCCCTACATGTGTATGTTGCTTGTATATACGCGTGTACACTGTACGTACGTAGAAAACTGCAATTAAAGTGGACTGCCGCAACGCTGTCGCGACCAAGTGGTAGGACAATTTGTAAGGATGCACTATGAGCTATGCCTATGCATTCTACATGTCAACTGTGAAGTTCCTCTGTTGCCGGCTGCTCGCCACGCTGACAAAGCAGAGGATCCTGCAGTAAGGAGGATCACCATGGATCACCACATACAACAACGGAATGAGCATCTGAGAAGTAAACAGGGTGAGCTTGTGACTCCGGAGCAAGAAGCCCAAATTTTTGAGCAACCTGAGGCCGCATGGTGTTTTTGGTGTGACAAAGACCCAGCGCAAGCAAGTCACCTTTCGCAGGACAGCCTCAGCTACAGGCACAATAGCAGGTAGTTAGTTCGGGGAAAAGGCAATGTTTCTTGAAGGCTAGAATCTAGAGACAAGCAACATTAAGAAACTGTTGAATCATGCAAACCCGTTGAACACTCAAGAGACGCCAAATGCAACCAATCAGCGAGTGGTGACGAATCACTTGCAGGTCTAGTGCTTCTGCAAGGGCTCTCAGGCGCATTCGTCATACGCTTATGGAATCTCCAGGACTTCTGGAACCTACGTGTCAATATGTGTCGATCTATCATTTGGACCCAATCTTTATGAGGAAAGAAGTTTATTTGTTCCGTACCTCCTCATCAGCGCTGACAATTGGTGAAGCCATCTCAACAGGCCACACCTTTTAAAGCTGGCCAGCCTTTTGCTGTAGTTGCTAATTCCCTTGGTATCTTGGTAGTTCCTTCAATATTTGACATTGTGCCAAAAGCTGCGGCGATATCGGGATGACCGCTAGGCACTCACCCCAGACTTGCACAACATCATCACCGATAGGCCTCGGGAAAGTTGAGTTGCAAGGGCTGAAAGGGCTGAAGACCTCAGTAGATGGTGACAAAAAACATTACTGAGCCTGGGTGTCCTGAAAACCCTCGTACAAGTTGTATGCTACTAGTGGTATTAAACAAGCCACGCGTTGTGATACCGTGTGCCTACATCCAATACAGCCATAGCTGCTAGCTACGGAGTTCTGTCGGTGTGAACAGCGAAAGGTGCAAGCATTGCCGCCTCTCACAAGTGTAGAAAGCAAAGCTCGAATTGACTGGTGTGTTGTCAGTTGTTCTGTGGTTTGGCTTTGGTTCGAGTTTGCGTGCGCTCGTTTTTGGCTTTGGTGCCGGAATTGGTTTTTGATTATTATATAGTTATATAGTTGTCTGTTTTTGTCAGGTTTTGGTGCTGGTATAGCTGGAGCGGCGTTTTTTGAACCTTGAAGTGCACTTTGGGGAGCACGCAACGCTGATCTTAGCGTCTAGGTCTAGGATGGTCTAGGTCGCAAAAGCCTGGTAGCTCTTAGCAAAAGATGTACTATGTTGGAGTGCTATGTTGGAGTGGCCCCTTTCCTCTTTGCCAAAATGTTACCTTGGCAGTGCCTTGTAAACCTCGCTGATCTAAGCATTCAAGTCTTTTGTGAGATGGCCAGGGTCTGGTGGCCCTTAGCATCCGCCATTATGGGGTTGCGGTGGACTGATGGTATCTAAATATGTTAAGCACCTTTTGCAAATGTTAAAAAAATGGCGGGCGAAGGGTTGTGTAAGCTGAGACAAAAGTTGTAGAAGGCAAGGCACTTAGTGATCTGAGTGACTTTGTGTAGATTTTGTGACTATCGCAGCACTAAGTGAACCTCGGCATCCTGATCTTAGCATCCACACCATATATGAGAGGGCAAAATCCGGGTGGCTCGTATGCGCATGCTACTGGTTCTGGGCGCACACGAAGCAGAAAGTCGAGCACTAGGAGCTCCACTCCACTATCCCCGCGTATTAGACAGGTGCATCACCAGTGGTGCAGAACACCAAGAGTAGGTAAAGCATACAAAAAAGCTAGCAAAGATTCATTACGCCTCCCTGACTCAAGGACTCAAAACAACTAATCAAAAGCGACAGCAACAAAGATCATAGAAAGAAAAACATTCCGAAAGAGACTCACTACGCTACAAAAATGATGACAAAAAGGAAAAACATAACCAGGAGAAACAACCGGAATCACCAACCAAGCAAGAAAGAAGGCACAAAAAGCAGCAAAAGAAAGAGGATTCACAAGAAGCAATGAAAAGCAAGGAAGAGCAACGCAAGCGCAGAAAAGCAGGAAAAGCAAGAAAAGCAGAGAAGCAGTGAAAAGCAAGGAAAAGCAAGACAAGCACAGAAAAACAATGAAACAGTACAGTAAAAAACAGATATATACATCTGCTTTGGTTTTTGCTTTGCATTGCATTTGATTGGGTCTCGCTACTTGGCAAGTTGAGCCTTGTTTGTCGGAACCCAGTGGCTAAGCTTCCCTGCTGAGGAGAGAGCCCATCATGCAGGGTGTGGTGCTGCCTAAGAAATTGCATCATATCATCACCATGTCTGCAAGTCGCTATGCAAAATAGATCCATAAACGGTGTCCGCATGCTTGCGTATCCATCTCCATGTCATCTCAAGAGATCAATTCTGGTCATTGATTAGAAGCCGGGTTCGACATGATGTCATCAATGCAAAATTCGACACTGAAAAATTAGTTTGGTGTTAGGCTGCTGGAATGTTGCGACCAGGTTGACAACGTTCGCAATGGCAGTTCCATCCTTGCTAGGGTCAAGCGCGAGAACTGCATTGGGTTTGAGTTGTGCAGAAACAACATCCCCCGACTGTGGGGTTCACTGTAATTGTACTCCCTGCCGTGAAATGCAGGCGAATTCACCCCACAAGCGCAGGATTGAGCCTGGCTTGCCTCAGAGTGAGTATGTGCACAATAATAGAAATGAAAATACAATTGGTCTACCAAAAGAGTCCATGTCTCTTCTCACAGAAACGTTCACAAACATTCACAAACCTATAACAAAACTGTGCACGATGGGCGAATGGCCGGATAATAAGCATAGTTGGAAAACAACGCACCTCTAGTTTTTTCCCTTGTGAAAGTCTCACCCAAAGTTCGTTATCACTTGTCCGCGTGGTGAGATCAATTGCAAGGTCGGTCACAAGCGCTCTCCTCAAGAATGTTCTCCCAATGCTGCGCAGCTGCAACATCCCTTGCAGGCGTCTCACCAAAATGCAAAATCCAGTGCTTGTCTTGTTCAACACTGAGTAAGCAACTATGTACTCAAAAACAAAAATCACCCAACCAAACTCCAAAAGGATCTGCAAAACCTCTTTCTCTCAGGAGCTTGGTGTAGTGCTTGGGTCCTCTGACCCCTGCTTGTTCTCACCAAATGGTGTAGAGTTGAAGTCCAAATGGTGTGACAGGCAATCTCTCACGTGTGCCTGGTACACCCTGTCTGGCCCCCTCAGGGCCAGAGGCGCCTGGTAGCAGGCCATACACAGAGGGATCTTGGGTGGGCCTCGGTCAGGAAAAGGCATCTGCCGCCAGTAGTCGGAGAGCCGCATCAAAACTTGGAGATCAGGATGAGTCAGTTCATCCGCCCAGGTGTTGTGCTCACGTGGTATATGGCTAGGGCCACACTGCAGCCTTCACGGTGCAACAGCAGCGCAAGTTCCATCAGGATGGCCGCTGTGCGGGGCTTCTTCGAAGAAAGGTTCAAGAGGCGGAAAACATTGCCGGAGTTATCACTGCCAACTGGTAGGCGAAGGCATCCAGGAACGTCAGCCTGTTGTCGTAGAAGGCGACAACAGAGGAAAAGTGTGCCCAGCAGCTCGAGGGCTGCAACGCGACGGCTCCCATCCTTGAACGCCCACAGGGTAGTGGAACCAGATGCCAAAGCAGGTCGTCATGACGGACCTTGGCCAAGTCGATTCGCCTACGCGTTCTGCAATTCAGAACAAGGGCTTGCGTCCAGCGATGTCCTCCCCATAGAACAATGACCATACAGTAACCATTCGTACCACTCATCCAACTCCACCTTGGTCAAGGAAAGGTGGCAAAACTGGGGTTGGGCCAACCTCTCCTGCCGCCACATTGCGGAACTGGCGTTTCAGGAAAATGTCATTTGAAGCGTCCAAGACACAGGTCACACATGGTGTCCGATGGACCCTTAGCCACGCGGGTGTCTCGGCCGGTTGACGGCCAACACCCATCTGAGTCTGGGACATCTACTTAGCTGCTCAGACTGCTTGCAGCAGTCTCATGGCCGCGAAAGCCGAGGTGCGGTCATCAAATCCTTGTTCGCCCGAACGGAAACTCTGAGCCCATTTGCACGGGCCTCCTCCGGGAGTTCCACCGATCGCCTAAGTCCTCAACCGTCACATAGCCCTCATCACCCAACCGGGCCTGAGCATCAGGGGAGTCCAGGGGATCTGTTGAAAGGTTGTCCTTGAAGGCTCGTAGAATTTTCTCTGGTGGTTTGGCCGGTGGATCGGCCATCACAGGGTTGGGTGGGTGGGTGGGTGTTCGCAAAAATGCAGTGAATCGACGCTGGTTCTCTCTTGAGTCAAAAGGTCCCGGTAAGACATTTTGGTGAATATTGTGAACATAAAACTTACAAATGCAAGCTAAATGCAAGTGTGAATACAGACACAACACATCACAGCGCAAACCAGGTTTGGTCAAGGAACGATGCAAGGCTCAGCTGCCAAGTCCACCAGCTACATCAATCTCCCTCCCGAAGTTGAATGGCTTCGGCTGCAAGTTCAATCTGGCTGTGCCACCAACAACTGTGTCGCTGCAGCCATGCGAGTACTGGCTTGAAGGCATGCACTTAAGCGCAAGGGTCGTCAAAAGCACGCTTTGATGCCACGCAATGGAATCAAGTCTGGCACGACGACCAATTGCTTGGCAATTGTCGTTTGCCCCCCAGATTTTAACTTTACCATTGCCACCCTTCGTCCCAGCCATCCCAGCCATACCATCCCCAAGCATCACCCCAATCGCCATCACCCCACTCACCTTCGTACCTGGCTGCGCGAAACAGGATGTTGGAATGAATGCAAAAAAAAACATGCTCGAAGCACCAGTCTTCATCTTCCCAGTCATAGTCAGCATCTGGCCGTACAAACTGTGGAGTTGTTAGCACTACTTTCATCACACGTGTGCCTGAACTCTGTACTGGGGGGATCGCTCGCCGTTCTGGGCCTTCTCCCATCTTCCTCTGGCGCAAATTCTGTCATTCAGCAGATCAGCTTCCGGAACAAAAGCATCCAGCCTGACCCTCTCGGCAACCTGGCACCACTACAAGCATGCCCGAGCATAGATTACACGTATAGTACAGTATAGTGTCTACACTACACATGACCCGTTGGCCTTGTGGCTAGCGACGTATGAGGCTCGTTCTTTTGAATACCTTAGAATGCAGGAAGCATCCTGCATGTCGAGAAGGTACTGCATGCGATTGGTGTGCTTCCATCAGGCAATTGCCAATTACTCCCTAATCGTTTTTGTGAAGTTTAGCAGAAGTCAAGTGGACATTTTATTCCTCGAAGAGTTCAAGGTGTGAGGCACAAAATCACGCACTGACACTCAATCAGCATGATAATCATTGATGTTCAACTAAACTGCCCAGCTGGGTACGACACCCACCAAAAACCATCCGCTGAGGATGCAGGTCACGACTGGGACGTTCAGTGAAGGTGGTACCCTTACCGAAAGATTCACCTTTTCCACCGAACGGCTGCCTGCGCATCAGCAAAGGACATCACTTGCCACCAAAACATTCGGAAATAATGATTGCAATGGTTCAAGAACGCCCACTGGAATGACTGGAAAGGTTGCAAAGACTCATTCAGATCATTCAGAAGGAGAATATATAGTTGGAAGGAAAGCAAGCAAGTGAAAAGAACAGAGCACCCATGGGTCCTCCGTGCCACTGCAACATCCCCTAGGGCTGACAATGCTTATGGCTTATATCATCTTATATATATATATATATATGTCCGAACCAGCAGTTAATGGTGTTGAAGTTGAGCCTACATCATGAAAAACTGTTTGAAGTGGTCAATGTGGTGCCAATCACGCTGGATTGGAACAAGCATCACTTCAACATATGCGATGTTTACTATATTATTGTTTGAGCACAAAAGGTGAATGGAAGAGGCTAATAGAAAATTGCACCAGCATAGACCCCAGCAAACAGCAAGCAGATCCCACATGCCCAGAAAGGAGTCTGGTTGTCCAACCATTTGTTTCGATCGATAAAGGCTTTGTCAAATTCCAACACCCTGCGCAGCATCTGCAGAGACAACCTGTCTCCAAAGCGCCCGCAGAATTAAAATGACAACTGCATCTGGCTGACGGCAACTGCACCGACAGCCTGTCAACATCACATGCAAAAGAACCAAATTTCAGGTGCAAGACTGTGTGAGAAATCTGTGACGTTTATGAACACATGCAACCAATGAACATACAGTTCGCGGTCATGTTTGAATCCTTACAACCTTACAAACAGTGTTGTCAGCAACCCAATCAGTGTTGATGGGATCATCCATGGTGCACGCCCTGCAAAACGTGCATGCAATTAAGAATGTCGTGCCAATAATGTGAGCTGGGAAAAATCAGGTGTTCTGCCCTGCCTCCAGCCGGAAGAAGCTCGCGGACGTTGGCTTGGGCCTTTACCGGCACCTGCTGGGTTCCAACATTCAAAGCCCAGCCCGGGCCTGATAAAACTGAAAGTCCTAAGTTGCGCTTGAAGTTTATGTAAACTGCAAAAGAGGCAACCTGAGACAGTGCCTGGGATGACCTGCTTCTTCCATTCCCGAATGCCCCAGCCCGGAGGCACCACGAATAGCCAAGGGTAGGACATTGATAGGAAGGTGGCAACATAGAGGACGCTACGAACGGAGCAAAGGGCATCGCTACTAGGAGCAAGGACGCTACTAGGGGCTCCTGGCCTTACTCCTAGTAACAAGAAGCTACTAGCAGCAACCCGCGCAAGCAACCCACCACACCCGAGGTCAGCCGGAGGCAGCGCCGGAGCAGCCGGAGACGTCGCAAAAGAGGGAACCCAAGCAGCTCAGCCCAGAACGATAAGCAAGCTGTAGCACCCTTTCAAAGGGTTCACAGGTGATGGTTAAAAATTCGATGCTGTCTATCTGTATATATATATATATATAAAATCCCAGTGACTAGTATATGCTTGCTTGAAACATCTTGAAACCCGCCTTTCATGGTTGTTTCGCTTGCGGTTTCTACCTTAGGAAAATGCCATCGAAACTGCAGCACACCCAAGCACATTCTCAAGCTCTGTGAGGAACTTCTTCGAATATGAATTCACTGCTTGCACACCTTGAGGCATATCAAGTCCGACCCTTGCCAGGCCAAATCCCTAAGTGAGTCCTGCAGCCTATTCATGTGGGGATGAAAGCCACCAACCCTCCAAGCTGTGCCAGAAAATCCTGAAAAGTTCGAGAGGGTGTAAAAATACTGAAAAGTATCTCAGATGGAACTCTTGATAAACGAGAAGCTCTGAATAGCATTTCCTTTTTGTGGGCTGGCCGTGGTTTCGATCGTTCCTCATGTACTGTAGACGCCCATAACCGTCACGCACACACTGCCAACCTTCTCAGTCTAAGTTAATTGGTGTGGCGTAGGCCATTCAACCAGGAACACAGTTACCAGTTACCACCATTTGCCAGCCAATTCGCTTTGTAGCATGCCATTCGAAACACTGAATCTGATTGAAAAACGTCTCTGCAAAAAAAAACGTCTCTCTCCGGGACTGTGCTCCTTGCGGTGGTGTCCAACGGGCTTGGAGCTCTTGCTTCGATACATTCGCGTCGTAAATCCTGGGCATCACTTGTACGAACTCATTCCATTACGCCCAGTGTGTGTGTGTGTGTCACACTCTGCTTCTAAGAGTTCTAAGAGTTCTTGATTTTGCAAAAGCAGGGGGACATGGCAGCTGTTTCCCTAGCCATGCCAACGAAGCTATGGGATTCAGCCGGAAGGGAATGTGGACGCACACTCCTGTACCTGCAGCCGGAACTTTTGACCACGCTGTTCCACTCTCGATTTGTTTCATGGTGGCTTTGCATGCTACTCCCCACAAACAGGTTTCCAGCTGCTGGTCGTCGCTTTCGTTGAGCGCTTTTTGCAACTTTTGTTAAACATTCTGTTGATTGCGGACTTGGCCACCATTCTGTTCCATCATTCCTTTTCCTCGTAGAACTGCGTTAACTGCAAACCCTATGACTAAGTGTGCGCCGCTCTGTCGTCCCACTGGGTGCGGAGTGTGATCTCCCGCAAGGGAGCGCCGATACCATTGGGAATCACACATTGACTTTGCGTTTTTGAGCTCTGGAATTATGGTTTTGGATTGCATTGTTTCACCCATGAATCTTCTGCCCCCAATGCTGCCGAGCTACGGAGTTTTGACGCCGCCGGGCTCACAGATCACTTGCTTTCGGCAGTGCACTCAAGGTTCAAGTGCTACTTTCCGCATCTTTCTCGGTTTCACGCGATTCAAGTATGCTGACACATTTCTAATTCAACCAGTCAATTTTCCAGAATTCGATTCAGCGAACGCAATTTCACTCTCGGATCATGCAGTAGCTGAACAGCTTGTCCACCTCTATGTCCAAAAAGGACACGCAGCATCTGACTGCAAACGATCTTTGAACCGACCAAAAAAGACTGCTGTCATTCTTCAGAGCGCCGCTAAGCGGCTCTGTGTGTGTGTGTGTGTCACACTCTGCTTCTAAGAGTTCTAAGAGTTCTTGATTTTGCAACAGCAGGGGGCATGGCAGCTGTTTCCCTAGCCGTGCCAACGAAGCTATGGGATTCAGCCGGAAGGGAATGTGGACGCACATTCCTGTACCTGCAGTCGGAACTTTTGACCACGCTGTTCCACTCTCGATTTGTTTCATGGTGGTTTTGCATGCTACTCTCCACAAACAGGTTTCCCTCCGCATTGCAGCTGCTGATCATCGCTTTCGTTGAGCTTTTTTTTTGCAACTTTTGTTAAACGTTAAACATTCTGTTGATCGCGGACTTGGCCACCATTCTGTTCCATCATTCCTTTTCCTCGTGGAACTGAGTTAACTGCAAACCCCATGACTAAGTGTGTGTCATGTCACACTTAGAACTTAGAACATATCCATTCTAATCATTCTATGGCAAGCGTTTCTTTGCTTCCAAAGTGCTTGGGCTCATTTTCTTGGCAAGATGCCGGAGCAGGGTATTGCAAAGCGTTCGGAGGTGGGTTCGGGCCGTTGTAGTTGCGTGCACCCATGCTTTCTTGTCTTCTTGCACGAGCCCCGTTCTTCTGTTAATCTTCCCTCAAAGGTGCACAACAATTACATAATGCTACCCCATGCTAGGGACTTTGAGCGGGCAAGGTTACTTTCCTGGGCCTTTCTGCTATGTTTTGCTTGTATCTGCTTGATCAGTATGCGACAGCAGCTGTGCCTGTCCATGGAAAGGACAAACTCATAGGAAAACCAGCAACATGCCGGAATGAGCATTCAATAGCATTCCTCCATTGCACATCGAAGATTGGCGATATTCTTTGCTGCATCTCCATCTCGAACCTCTCACATCTTGCACATGAAGCTTGCGTAAAACGGTAAGAGATGCCAATGGTCGAACCTCACGTGGAGAACGCCACCGATCTTGGTAAGCGCCTCATCTCGAAGACAAGATCTTTTTCCATGACGTCTAGAAGACAAGATTCCGATCGAGGCCTGCGAGGCCAGCTGCAGCCTTGGAGAGTTCAATGGCCTGCAAGCTTCGCCCGAAGCCGAGCTTCAAAGAACTTGTTTGACTGAAGTACAAATACAAGGTTTTTATGTGTCTCTATTCTTTATAGTGGTGTACAGTAAAAGAAACCATCCTTAACTCAATGCTTGACTCAATCCTGAAATGACCACCATTCACGACATTCAAACAGGAAAGGAACCCCTTAGCAAAGGTCGTGCTGTTTTTTTCCTAAACTCTAATAAGATCTAAAAAGGTCATGACCAGAAACATCAGAAACAACATGTTTCAGCTTGACTCCCAAACGATGTCCTGCTTGGCCAAAGCTTTCTGCTTGGCCGCTTGTTCGTCTCTTTCCGCTTCGCGGATGGCAGCCAAGCGGCCTCAAATTCATCAACATTCTAGATTTCTTGTGGCCACGGCATGGTTAGAAAAATCTGCAATACGGATTTTCTTGCTTTGGTTCTTTTTCTTTAGACTCGTGAAATCTGTGTCTCTTTCCCTCCTTCCTCTCTTCGCTTCCTTTCTTCAAGTGTGTATGCCAATAATGCCTTTCTTTATTTTAGACCCTCTGCAAAGTGTGGCCTTGGCCCTGGGCGCCAGGCTTGCTCTCTCTTCAAAGCTCAAGCCGCCAGGATCCGATTTCCCTCTCTCGCTGCTCCTCTGCAAGTCTGGCAGGCGCAAAAGTCTCTGCAAGACTGCCAAGATTGTTTTGATAATGTTTTACCGTCAAACTCATTGTTCATGATCACTAAGGGCCTTGCAACAACTCTGGCTGAATCCCGTTCGGGGGGGTTGCACTTGAACTACTTAGGAGATTTTAGATGCTTTCAGTAGCTACTTGGTCAAAGCGTTGTTTTCCTGCCACGCTCAGTGCGCCAGGAGGATGCCGATGCAGAAGCAGAAGCGGGTGATGCGCCGGCCCTTGAGCTAGGAGCAACTCATCACGCGTTCGTTTGTGACTGAGCTGGGAACCACGCAGGGGCAATGGAGGCAGCATGTCCTGCCACTCAGTACAACATGATACAACATGTACACACCCTAGCAAAGCTGCTTTGCAAAGCATGTCTATTGTGTTCAAACAATCTCGTCCTGGTCCTCATCCTGTCTACGGAGCTGTTGAGCTGATGAGATGCACAACCATTACAGAGTGTATTGTATCTCTGCGCTGTCTGAAAATGGGTACTCAGGTTGAGATTGGAGGTGCAAGAACTCTGCCCGTAAACTGACGCATTGCGTTGAGTGAATCGGTTCAGGTGGGCCTTCTGTGACGTTGTATATACAGTATGCAGTGTGTGTGTATATATATATATTTTTACATATGACTATATATACAGTAACTGCAAACTCCGATAACAAGCTGCTGAGAAGGTGCGGAAAAGTGGAATTGTCCAAGCATGTCCAAGCAAATCCTATGGGCGAGATGGTCCATGTTGACCATGTATGTGAATGTGCTCAGCTCTCTTTTCATTCAGCTCCGCTTGTATGGGCTTGCCGCACAGAGCTTCAGTATCCAGAGGCCTTCTCTGGTGCTTTGTACATCACCGAGGCCCAAGCACAGGCAAAGCACTGCACAGGCAACGGATGGCGACGGCATGTCGTCTCAATCTGCCAAATCGCTCTGGTCAGACCACCGAGTTCCAGGACCGGGTTCACACCAAATCATATCAGTCTGGCAGAGCCCCATTAAACCCTTCGAGAACAGCAGCCGCTATGCACCGTATCTGCCACTTCTCCACGGAAGCGCTGTGAACGTTCGCACTGTCGTACCCCACTTTTCGCTTGGACCTGAAGCGAAATCTCCTCCACATGAAAGAAAATAAATGCAAAACGAGCTCATGGCTGATCACTTGGGCTTCAATATCCACAAGCTTCTTGTAAAATGCGCACCTCACCAAGCATTGGCCACTTGCACAAGTTCGAGAGGGTTGAGGTGATATCGTTTCTGGTAGCATTCCAGCAGCAGCAGCAGCAGCAGAGCCACAGCATCTGCACAGGGGTGCAACTGTAGAATGTCTAAATGTCGAGAAATAGAAATAGATGCCCTTTGCTCCTAGTAGCTTCTTGCTCCTAGTAGTAAGGCCAGGAGCCCCTAGTAGCTTCTTGTTACTAGTAGTAAGGCCAGGAGCCCCTAGTAGCGTCCTGTCCTTGCTCCGTTGATTTGGCTAAAGTCCGCACCACATCTTCGAAGTTTGCATCTTCATCCTGCCATTCACATCAAGCACCAAATGCGAAGCGATGGATTGACCGAAACTTGAGAGGAGGGAGACACGAAAGGTAGGACAGCGGGAAGAGAAGAGAACGCGAGAGGCAGGAACAAAAATGCAATGTTCGACATGGTGATTTATCCCCTCGGAGGCGACCTTTCGTAAATATATGTTCATATGCACTTTGAATGTTCAAACATGTGCTCTCGACATGTTCAAAAAGATTCTTAGGAAAACAAACTTGCCCCATGGCTCAGATCATCGGTGAGCATTGAATCGGAACATCATAGGATTTGAACTATCCTGAAACCATAAGAGGCTCACGAAGACGCTCCCCAGGAGAGAATTGACGTGCTTCACAAAACAAACTCTAGGTATGTATCCCCTCGGGGAACACCTTTCGTGATTAGAATTTCATATTCACTCTTTCTGAGTGTTCAAGAGGGTTTCAACTATCCTGAAATCATGACAGGCTCACGAAGACGTTCTCCAGGAGAGAATTGATTTTAGAGGGGGGGAGGGGGTGAAAGAGTGACTAGGGCGTACACGGTAGAGGTGCAGACCGCTAGTGTCTTTTATGCGCAGAGTCTTATCCTCTTGCTCTTTGAGCCTTGAGCAGTCAAGCATGGACACACTATATCAGCTGTTGGAGTGGAACCCTGTACAGGTAGGCTCTACTTTTCAGCAGGCACAAGATTCATGTCCACTTCTAGCTGATTGCGTATGTCGCATACTCTTTTTCTACTGCAAGGCTAAAACAGTCCAGCTAGCTCTGACAACTTAAAAGAAAACTACGGTGCCATGTACTTATCTAATCCAGTGTGTTTCACACTTTGGAGAAGATAATCTCATAGCTACTAAATACAGTGAGGGAGCAATAGCTGACTCACCTCAAGTACAAAATCAAAACGATAATGCACCTCGGCTGGAGACTGTACTTTTCGCAGGTGGAGATACCATGTACCGGCGCTCACTAGCTCTTTATGGCCTGAGCTAAATCAAACTAAAAAGGGAAAGCGGCTTTTTCTCTACAGAGACCTATAAAAGAATCAAACGACACTCGCGTAACCAAAAACGAAAATTCAAGACCGCACAACGCAATGAATTAAGATGCCTTGCAAAATGCAAGGAGCGTACGGTCCGAGGAATAATCTTCTCGTGACGTGGTCTCGACCGCTTTCATTCACAGACAAAATAAAACTGCATCAAAAGGGCTCTCTTTCACATTCACATCAAAAACACAAGAAGGAGATACCGGCAAATGTATGTACAAAAATCTTGCACTACAATTGCAAATCATGAAATGACTTAATCATCAACCATGACTGGTTGTCCATTAGAGGTCACTTCATAAGAGCGATGATGATAGATATCATCAGTTATGTAAAACTGTCCATACCTATCTACATGCTAAAGCGTATAAACCTGGAATGCAGGAGTATCTTCTTTGATAAAAAGTTTCTCCTGGTTGCAAACCAGAGTTCATTAAAACTTCAGCCTGGCAACTTAAAGTCAAGCCTGGAAGCAAAGTATCAACTGTAACCAGAAGTATCTTCACTTCCTAGCCATCATTTAAATTTCAGCCTTCGCTCAGAAATTATGCCGCTGCAGACGATGAAGCTGCTTGACCAGAAGTTGGCGGCCTTCCTTTCCTTTTATTCTCTTTCTGTCTCTCCTTCCTCCGCAGTTTCGCCTCATGAAGAGTTGCTCCCATGCGATACTGTCTTCTGTCTCCAGATGAAAAGGAGGCTGGTCTGAGTGAAATAAACATTGGACCATGACTGTCCTCGTCAGTGGGCCTTGAGCACATAACCTCCGTGTCAATCATAGCAAAGTTCTCTGAAAAATTACAGATGAACTCCTTCGTGCTCACTGTGGAATTTTCATATTCCTCTTCACTCATTGAATGACCCCATTCAACAATGGTAGACAAACATGTATCGCCAAGCTGTGATCCTTGGTATTCTTCTTTTTCAACAGTAGAATATTCTTCCCAGAGTTTATCAAAGTAAACCTCACACTTCTTGAGGACCTGTGAAGTTGAACTGTAAAATGTTCTGGGAATAGGTGCTTTGATACCAGGACCTGCTTTTACACGAGCTTCTGAAAACCTGCGGATCCAATGCTGCATGGTGCTGTAATAGTAGTTAGCCATTGGCTGCCTTTTGTACCCAGACATTCTGTAGGCCAAACTATTTGCATCACCAGAAATGATGTCCACCTCATAGACAAAACACTCGTAAAGCACCAATGCTGTCTGTTCTCCTGTCAGTAGGTGGGCATCTACAGCACGGTGTGTATCAACATGATAATTACAGACTCTGATGGTATGCATGTTCGCTCGAGTGAGTGGAACACGCTTGTCCTCAGGACCATAGTCATCAAATTCAAAGTCTGCATCCTTGAAATCTTGACGAGGCCTTGTTTCTCCAAAACAAATCTCGTAGATAGCCCAAGTTACATCACGCTGTTCACAATGACCAAGTTCTTGATCATGTCCAGCAATGATCTTGACATATCCACCTGGTGCCAATCTAGCCATCACTGCAAGATTCTCCCAATCATTGAAACAAACTGTCCAATTCTTTTGCTCAATAAATTCCTTGGCAGGAACAAGAAGATGAGCTTCCTGGAGAATCACGACATGTGCACGTAAAAAGAAGAGCATGTTGAAGAAAAGGTTGTTCTCAAATTGCTCATTCTGAAGTGACATGGCGCTCTGTTTGCGTGGCCTCATTGCACTATCAAGTCCTTGGAGAAACCTTGGTGTGGTGTACTTCTGACCGCGAACCATGTTGCCATAGTTCCAGGGTAAAAATGTCAAGGACTCTGAGCTGGCCAATAAGTTAGTTCCATATGGTTCTTCTATTCTTCCCTTGAGGAACCTTCTGCACAGCTCTTCATAGAAGGTGACAAAGTCCCAACTGGGTCCCTTGGGACCATATGATTCCAGTTCCTTCTTAAGTTCCTTCTTCGTATCCTCCAATTCTTCTCGACCATGTTCTGCCCTTTCAAGGGCCTTTGGATCGACCTGATACTTGCCATCCAAATGAATGATGCGATCATCATTGATAAAGAATCTCTTCAAATCATGCTCTGGTTCGTGTTCATAACAATCAGGTGGAGGTACTGGACAGACATTTCGAATGGATCGAACAAAATCATCCTCGTTGATCCTCGACTGATAATGAGGATGGGAAATCTCACCTTTTCTGAAACAAACATGATTCAGCAATCTTGCATGAGTTTCCCTGGAGCATAGTTGATAAAAGCCAATACCTGGATCTCCTGTAAGCTCTCCAAGCAACTTCAAAGGTGAAGTATGCAACTCATAGGTATTGTCAACTTTTGTTGTATCCTTTTCAACAACTACTTCAGATGGGAAAGATTCTTGGATTTCAGCCTCCAATTTCTTCTCTCCATCATCCTCTCTGACCTCTTTTATTTTCTCCACCGCCTCTTTCTTCTCTTCCATGGTTGCATCATCCTGAACTTCTTCATGAAAATGAGTATCAGGTATTTTATTCAGGCGGCTTTTCTTAGATTTCCGCTGACCTGAAGTATCATCAAGGTTAGCATCCATCTCACCTGATGGTAAGTGCGATGCAGTCGAGTCCTCACCTATCTCTCTTGACAGAAAGTGTGGTGTTGACTCTTCCTTGGCTTCCTCCTGGTCCACTTCCATCTTTAGTTCCTCTGAAGGAAAAACACCTGCATCTTCATCAATTATTTCTTCTTCCTTTTCAGGTTCAACTGCAGGATCTTCTTCAGGAACTTCCTCTTCCATATCCTC